TTAATGCATTCTGTGGAAATGGAAGTTAGAAGGTTATGAATGTTCCTTATTAAAAAGAATTTGTGCGGTTCAACATGATTCGTTTGTGGCTATATTTGGAAATGGACAATTTCTTGTGCCATTTTTCTTTTTAATTTTTGAAGTGTAAAAGTGGCATACAAAGTTACCATGTTAATTGCAGTTGGTCAAGCTGGATGCTTGGAAGATGTGTGGAGTAACATATAGATTCATAAATGCTACTCTTCAGCAGTAATGTGCAGACATACACGTTTCATTGTAGATTAACTGCATGCACTGATTGTGTCTGTTCTTCCTTAAATAGTATCTATTTTATGAAATTAGTTCTATTTGTCAACCTACATCTGTCCTCTTAATTGAAGCTCCATCTGTAAATTAGTTCCCAATCTTGCAGTTTTAAGATACATTTCCTGAATTAGCGTAGTTGTGATTGGTCTGAGACAGAGAGCTTGATAATTTGGGGAAAAGAATTGTATTAGTGCTTGATAATGCATGGTGCAGGATCAAAGTCTTGTTTTGTTTGAATGGTGCATATGTGTTTTGGGGTTTTTAATTTGCTACTAGTTTTACTTGGTAGTAGTAGTGACCACTTGTTGCGTGTTATCCATATATTTGTGCTTCCGAATCTGTAATTCCTCGGGTGATCAGCTGAATGGCGGCATGCAGGACACAGATTCTGTTTGTGTTTCGTAGTAATAGTTAAACGGCTTACGTTTGCAGTGAATGTGTTCAATTAATTCATTTATTCTTCACTTTATTATTATATTACCTTGTATTGCTCCAATGTTTCCCAACCTAAATCCAATATGTGCTCGTATCCTGACACTTGGTAATTGTCTAGAACTTGATGATTATGATTAGACTTGTGATTTTGGTGGCTACATGTGTTTCTTTGTTGATTGAACTATAAAATTACTTCTAAAATGGGTAAGTGAATTGTTTAGATATTGGAGTTTTGTTAACTGTAAGTGAGGACAATATGGTCCAAGGACGTACAGAATATGAAAAAGCACTAGTAGTTTTTCACACCCAAGTTTTAATGTGGAAAAATATTTGTGAACCTCATCTTACGGATAAGTCCTGATTGTCCTGTGGAACAATTATGATCAGTTTTTAATACTGGTAGGATTTAACTAATTATGATTAGTTTTGCACCAGGAAATTAAATTCGTAACTTGGATTGTTTGAGGCGAAAATGGCTGGATTTTGGTGTCCCAATCTTGCACTTTTAAGATACATTTCCTGAATTAGCGTAGTTGTGATTGGTCTGAGACAGAGAGCTGTTATATTCACATTCAAATGACTGAGGTAAGCTTTAGTTCAATATTACCTCCAAAAAAGATTGTGGTGGACCATTTATAAGTTATGATAGGTTAATATGGCTCTACTTGTTCCTCTCAGGGCACTTCACATCTTTTCTACTTGGTATTGGCACTGTTTTAATCCGGTCATGTTGGTTAGTTCTTTATGCCTTGCATATCAAGTATATCACTGCTCTTATCTCAGTTATTACAATTCAGACAGTCATATATACTTTGAGAAGGTCTACTTGTATGTGTTGATATAGTCAGGCCAATTACCTTCTGTATGCAATGAAGCAGCCTCATTCTTGTGTCCTTGTTCTTTTGTTGCATCACTCAATATAGTCAATATATCTTTTTAGGGCTTATGAAATGCAAGGTGGAGAGAAAAAGTGACTCTTTTCTTGGCAGAAAATGTTATTTTGGTTTTTAATGGTGTATATTCTTTTGTTTCTGTATTCTGTTCATGAGAAATCTTGCAAGATTTTCCTAGATGACGGCACCAAATTGATCATGTTTGGGTCAATTGGTGAACAATGTTGAAAATGTAGGTCCGAAATGATTTTAACTTTGCCAAAGTACTTAGGAGATGTATTTGAAAGGTTAACTGAAGATTGAATTAGAGGTCCTTGAAGTTTTACTACCTAAGCAACAAAAAAGTGCCTGGACTCTGTAGAGTCATATTGCTCATTGGCTTTATTGATATACTTCTTTGGATCAATTTGATCACTTAGTATTTTCCAGGTTAAGGTTTGCAAGTTTCCGGGTTAAAAAATTCTATCTTGTTGAGCCAAATGCTTGTGTAAATCTTGGTCGCCTAACAACTTCTTTTGTTATCTATATATGAGTTCTTCTTTTCAGCAAAAAATAAGTAATGCAATTATCTTTTGGCTGTTCATCGTTCCACAATGACTGGAAAAATATATTATGGTGTAACAAGTCAATTTGGAGCTTTTTCTTTTTTTAGTATCTACTAAAATGGCTTTGAAATGTTAGAATGTAAACGAAGTCCATTGACAGTATTAAAAACTGGTCGCCATTGAATAAATGTATCCCGGGGATATTTCATGAACATATTCTAATCAAATTGATCAATTATTTTGTGCATAATATGTAGCTGTCCAAATCTATCTCAAGCTAGTTTGAGAGAAAAAATGTGATTTTTTTTTCCAAATCCATTTTTCATACCAAACATGGTGAAGAACAAGAGATCTTCACTAAAGAAGTTTTTTTGACTTCACTGAAATTAAATGGTTTTTATATGACTTTTGAGGCTGGAAGAGTCACGTGAAAATGCTTTCTTAGACTTGTTCTTTGTCTTAGCTAATAATTCACTAGTTTATTTTGAAATTAATAGAAAAATGCAGTTACAGTTGAAAAGTATTATTCTAAATATGTGACCAGGCCTATATAGGTTGTGAATTATATCGGATGGGTCAGCATAATAATTTCTGACCTGCTAAATATTTATTGTGAGCCAATATGAACGTGGAAGATAGCTAAAATTTCACTTGGACGTCTCATCAATGTTACATAGGTTATTACATTCTTTCAGTCTTCTCGTGAACTATTTGCAAAACAAAAGATCTCTATGAAATAGAAGTTTTGGAGAAAATGTTGACTAAGAAGAGAATCAATCTTGTAGATTTCTACAGAATTTACCCATTTCGTGTTGAGAAAGTGATCTGAGTCTGGGCACTTCAAGAAATTTGTAGTTATTATGGTTTATATATTCGAAAGGTATTAGTTTTGCATTTCATAAGTTTTCTTGGTTATTTATTCGTCAACCAAATCTTAACAGCAGAAGGAAAATTGTTCATTCTTGATCTTGAATGAGTTTCTATAATAAATTGTTAAGTCTACCAAGAAATTAGTTGTTAATGCCATTTGCATCTCAACCAATTGAATTCTGTTAGAAATAGTTTGAGCTATGTTGTGGAAGATTTCTCACGATAAAGGCCGTGGTCACAAGATAAAGTTAAAAACCTCTTATTCCTTTTTCAACCATGGAAGCCCATAAAATTGGATTTTAAGCAAATTAAAAGTTAAAGCTTCCTATGTTTAGTCCTATGACATTGAAAGGTAAGGGGGAGTAATCTTGCTTGCAGTCAAACAAACAAAAAGTTATAACTTCTGATGCTTGTGTGACAATGAAGGGTAAATAGGATTTATCCTGCATGGGTTTAAAGAAGCAAAAAGTTGACAGAATGGATCAACATAATTATTTCTTAGACTTTACGCATTCAGCAATTATTCAAATTTGATTTTCATTTGTGGTTAGGAACTAATTTTTTGAACAATGGCTTGAAATATAAGTCACTTGCTGGATGCATGTTTGTTGCATTGCCTCTTGTTTACGCATCTTTATGTATCTTAACTATATACTTATTCTTACCCATCTCAAAGTACCACAGAAATTCTAAACATGTCATAAATATTGGATGAGCTCACTCTTTTTTTTAAAAAATTTTCTTTTTTTGTCTCTCGTTCTTGGCAATAGTTCACTCTAGTTGGAGATTAATCATCTTCAAGCAGCTATGTAAAGTTCTATACTTCTGTCAAAATACAAGTAAATGCATCTTGATGATACCAGTTCTCTTAATTGAAGCACCTTTGCGATGAATATTTTCTAATAATCTATTTTATAAGATATATATCCTTTAGTGAAAGGAAGCTTTTGATGGTTTTAATAAATGTTTCCTTTGTCGTTTTATTTGTCAGCAGTAGTAGATATGATACTCTAGCACCAATATGGCAATATCTGTAACTTTTTTGTGTCTATCTATTATTGGCAGATATAATGTTAAGCTCTAACTTCAGCCTTCAGGGTGATTGTGATTTGTTTGAGACTCTAGAAAGCCGTCATATTCACATTTCAAATTATTTGAGTTGTTTTTTTTCTTCCAAACTTGACTTGGCAAGTTATCACAGGATAAGGTGGCCCTATTTCCTACTTATGAGGTACTTTAGACATCTTGTATTTGGCAGTGGGTCCCATTTTTATGCTAATTTGAGTCATCTTGCTTAGTTCATTCTGCCTTGGCACTTGGATCATATCAATTCTATTCCAGTTAATACAACTCAGACTGTCATTTATACTTAGGCTAAATGGATATGTTGATATAGCTAAACCAATTACCTTTTGTATGCAATGAATTAACTTTTTCCCTTGTGATTTCAATTAGGCTTCTTCTCGTGTTATGTTGTTATATATAGTCAATATTCTATTAACGATTATAGAAAGTGAGTCGGATAGAAAGAAAAACTCTTTTCTGGGCAGAAATTGATATTTTGGTCTGTACTTTTATACTACCTTTCAATAGATTATAACAATTAAGTTTAGGGATTCTGGCTGTCAACTGTTTGAACATGTTGATAAATGCTAGCTTCAAACAATTCCAACTTTGCCAAAGAACTTAGGAGGCAAATTTGAAAGGTTGAGCAAAGGTTGAAAACTTCGGATTTGTCTCATCTGATCATAGTTGCTTGAACCTTTATCATCTGAACCAAAAAAAAGAAAAAAAAGAAAAAAAAGATTGCATGGACTATCTACAGTGATCTTGTTGATTGGTTCACTTTTTATGCTGAACCAGAATTTCAGATTATTTATTTACTTATTTATTTTTTTGATCAACTTGATCACTTGTATGTAGAGTTGTCCTATTACAGGACAGATTTCTGACTACTTTCTGTATGTGAGCTGGCTTTCTGCATTCCATCTCTGAAATTCCAAATCATAGTTTACAAGATTAGAGAAGCTATATCCTTGGTGTTGAGAACCATTGCTCATATATTCCCATTTTCAATGGCAACCACATTCATTGACCTTTGCTGTGAAGGAGTCTTATACGTGCTTTATTTCATGAAATTAGCATGGCAATTTAGCAATGTTGACAGCTGGAGTATTTCAGGTTGATGAGTCCTCACTTCTGGTTTGAAACGGTTTGATGGGAATTTAATGTTGATTGAGATAAATAGTTGCTTCTTTGACATGGATACAGCCTATCCACAGGGGACAAGTTCGACCCAACATATGTAGCAAACAAATTTCCTTAAAATTAATATAGTGGAATGGTTCTAGAAGACGTCAATTGCAGAATTTTGAGGAAAATTGGTAAGGAAATTATGTTGAGTTTTATGTCCAAATTTTTTCGTGGTCGGCGAGTGTGAACGCATTTGGTGCTTGTCTAAATTTTGGAGCTGTCGGTGAGTGTGAATGCATTTACTACTCATAACTTATGAGTCAAACCTTAAAATACGGATCACATTCCCCATGGCATCAACTTTCAATAAACGTGTCAAATTCTGTAAATAAGCTGATGTATGATGGTAATATCTATGTAAGCCATTCTTTCCTCTTTCCTCTAAGCAAGGGTGATTGATTTTTTTGGTAGAGGCAAAAATGCTTCTCACGGAGCATAGAAAAGAGATAAGAAGAAATAGGAAGAAGAAATGGAAGAAATTCTTCATCTGTTGCTTATTAAAAATAGAGAAGACAATGTTGATGGATCATCGGGTTAATGATCTACCAGAAATATTGCCCTTTTTGTTCATCCAGGTTTAATGGCTTTTTCTTCCTGTTCAACCTCTCTGTTTGCTCTTCACTTCATTTCTTTTAGCAGTGTTTTTTTGCTTTTTGGCAAAACTATTGGTTCTAGGTGTTAATTTTTATTCATTTCTTTTCTTTTAAGGAAATACCAGATGGAAATTGGTATTGTGTGCAGTGCACTTGCCAAATCTGTGGCAAGGGGGTGGATGAAAAGGAGGCTTTACTACCTCTTGGAGTGCTGAAATGCTCCCAGTGCCAAAATATGTGTAGGGTCTCCTGTCTCCTGTTGTGCATTATCTTCATATGTGACTATACATGGATAATCTTTGTGTGGTGGGGAGAGTGGGAGGGTTTATAAACTGAAGGGATAGATGATAGAAAAATTTACGTGTCATACTCAGATTCATTTTGATATCACTAAATTTTTGGTCTTAGTCCAGAAAAAGACCCTCTTTTTTGGGATTAATTTATATCCTTAATGAAGTTTCTTGCATCAACTAATTGGGATCCAGATCTAAATGTAATTTTCCCACTGCTTTGGACCATGTTCCATATCCCATGTGGCCTCATCATGACTGTTGGATATATATTATTTATTATTATGTATTGAAAGTCTACGTGTTAACAAAAATTTCTTCAAAGTGTCCTAAGCAAATATAACTGTGTCAAAAGTCCATCATAAGGTTTGGTGTGAAAACGTAGGCAGGTTTCGTACATTGGATGTGGATATGCATTTGACATCCCTACTTGGATTTGGGTCATAAATAGGTCAACACTAGTATCAACTTCCATCAGAACAAAAATAAGCATGATTTTCTTTTGGTTGCTTTCTGTGTTACCCATCTGCCATTGTGTTATGTTGATCTTATAGTGGCATATTTGTCATTAGAAAACTTCAAAAGATTTTCATGTGTGTTTATCTTGTTGTTTGTGGGCCATGCAGTAGACTATATGCAATTTGTTTTTATCATTGATTAGGTTTTTGTTGCTTGTAGATCCTTAATTTGTCAGTTAAAATTTCTGGCAGCATGATTACTTTGATATGTTGGCAGATCATGAAGCTTTGTGTGGAAGAACGTGGTAGCAAATTAGACAAAGCCTTTGATACCTGGTGCTGTTCCGCGACATGCCAAGGGGTATTCCTCTTTGTTTTACGACCAGTTTAGTATTTAATTTGTTGAATTCTTGCCATGTGGTCTTATGGCATAACAGTTTCATATGAAGTTGTTTCCCTGCAAGAGTTGCAAACCTGGAATGAAGTCAAAAGAAGTATCATTTTTTTGCCATGTCCTTTGGTCATGAGGTCATATTGGGCACAGGACTCGTGTGACTTTTAAACCTTAGTGTGGGATGAACCTGACAATTAGATCAGACCAATTATGGTATGGAGGGCTTTAGATTAGCTTTTCCAAGATGTAGGTTATAGGTTCATTTTTTACGTACTTGTATTAGAACTGGGAATCAAGAGAGTGAAGAAAAATGAATTATACACAAATAAGACTGGAGATGTTGCCATTGAACTCAAAAGGATGTTTTTGGTTACTGCAGTTTACATGGTCATGTCTCATCCATGTAATGCAGGGCATGACGGTCTTAAATTAACTTTTAAAGTCCATATGTATAGGTTTTCCTGTATTGTTGTTTTCTGTGGTTCTATTCTTATTCCATTACTCTAAAAAAGTGAATATCTTTAAGATACTAAGTCGACTTTGTCATGTAGGTCTATCTTGGTCTTCAAGCAAACATTGGTCGTCCAATCCTGCTTTCTGATGGATTTCGCTGGACACTTTTGAAGTGCATCAATGGTGATCAACAAGCTCATTCTGCACAGAGCTTTCTAGCATTAAAGGCAGAATGCAACTCAAAGCTAGCTGTTGCACTTCAAATGATGGAGGAATATTTTAACCCAATGGTGGATCCAAGATCCGTTGTTAATATGATACCGCAACTAATATACAATTGGGGGTGAGTTCTTTATCTTTCGGACATGAACCTTTTCCTGCTTAAAAATCTCTACTTATTCTGCACATGGTTTCTCTCATCATCCTCTTCCCCATGTTTTAAACCTTCTTTATTTAGCTCTCTCGTTCTGCCTTGTGCTTGTGTAATTGATTATTGATTATTAACATTCTATATGCCTTTTATGCGTACCATTTTTAATTTGCATTTCATCTTCCTTCGCTACTAATTTCAGTTAGTTTCTTCACAGCCCTACGTTGCACAATGCAGATCAAACTCAGTGGTAGACTTTTTAAGTCAATATAGAGTAGTACTCTAGATAAAATATCTGATTCTTTTAAATTGTGTATTTTTTGGTCTGTATACTTCAACTGTGTGTGTTTGCTCTATATTCATCCGTGTGACTGAAGGTGTAGATATAGTATACAATCATAGGCTTTCAAATTGTTATTAATCCTTTGCTGTTTGATGTTGTTGTGCTTTGTTTCTGTTGTTTAATAACTCACATGAGACGTTATCCGAAAGCAATGCACCATATGACTGCCTTATCTTTTGCAGCTCTAAGTTTCCTTGTGTAGATTGTAGTCGGTTCTACACAGTGGTCTTGGAGAAAGGCGACACCTTGATCGCTTTAGCATCAATCAGGTAATTGTTGTTATGTCATCTCTAGTCACTGAGAACTTTTCAGTCTTGGTCCGAGTACTGCACTGCTCCTTCCTCAATATAATCTTGTGCTTGTGGAAGCTATCATGTTGGATACAGAAGTGCTTGGTTCATTTTTCGTGTGGCTTATCTGCTGTCTGATTTTTGCAGATGCATTAATGAGAAGAAACCACCGTGTGTCATGCTGTTTGTTTAGTACCAAAAGTCAATATCTGTTTTTGGCCACCAATGAACATGTCTTAACCAGAAAAAGTTTTTGACTCGATACAAGATATGCTTTGGAGACACTATTGAGTCAGATTAGTATTCTGCTGCAACTAGAGGTTCTAGTTCAGAATTAGATGTGTAGCTAAGGTATAGACCTGTATCTTTTAAATTTGGCTTTGTGGTGAGGCATGTAAATTGATCCTAGTCCGAGAGCATGGTAGCAAAGTCATGCTGTGTCTGCTCCTGTTTTAAGATCAGAGATGATTTTTCCTGTATTGCAGTCTTCTCTGAGATATTACGCATGAAAAGTTCTGAATATTGTCCTTTTGACTCCCTCTATGGAATGCTAGATCTTTTTCAAACGCATGCTGATCGTGGATTTTATTAGCGACTTAGTTAACTTCTATCTTCTGATTGGCTGTCAGTTGTTTTATCTGTTTCTTGGTTGAATGTTCAAGAATGATCTAACTTTTGGTTTTGGTTCAAGATCCACGGTGTAACTGTTGCAGAAATGCCTTTTGCTGCAACTTGTGTTAAACATCGTCACCGGGGCATGTTCCGTCGCCTTTTACAAGCTATCCAATTGGTGAGAACTGAAATTCTTAGTTAGTTAATCGATGAATAGCTGAAAATTCTCCTTCCCCAGTAAAAGAAATATCCATGTAAAAAATATATAAGAAAGTGTTGGATGAATCATCCAAAAATGGGAAAGGCTGGATGACATCCAGCCTTAGATTTTTTTTTTTTTTTTTTTGTCGCGACGGTAGAATTCCTATAACCTAATCTAGCCTAATTTAGGAGGAAGGGAGAGGGGGACTCGATGTGAGTAGAGATTCCATCAAAGAAGGCCAATGAAGGCAGCTATATATTGTGACAAATTTTGGTGGGAGGTAAGGATTTTGACCTCCCACACCACCAGGATTTTGACCACCAGGCCAAAGGTTTAGTGGCGGATCCAGCCTTAGATGGATCATCCAAAATGTAGAAGTCACAAAAGTAAAACAAAGAAAGGCTTTTAATACATTTCAAAATAATGGAAATAATTTCTTTTCTCTCTCAAAGTTTCACATGATATCAGAGCTTCCACTCCGATCCATTTCTGATAAAACTAATTTTGTAAAATTCATTCTTCATTATCATTCTAATTTAGGTAACTTCAAATCTTCTATCCTCCAAGTCTTTCTTCTAGTAATTCTTCAATCTCTTCCTTTTGGATTCCTTTGAATCACATCATGACAAATTTGGAGCAGCGTTTCAAATCTCCACTTCCAAGATCAATTCTAAATTAGAAGGGGAATCTACAATGACAATAGCCACTCACAGTAATCCAGAATCTGAAACAATTCTGATCACAAGTCACAAGTTAAATGGAAAAAATTATCTTCAATGGTATCAGCTCATGTTCATGTTTATTTTCAAAAAAGGTAATGATGAATATCCCACTTGTGAGATTGAAATCCCAAAGAATGGATATTCAAAATTTAGGCAGTGGATGAGTAACAACAATATGATAATGTCATGGTTGATAAATTTCATGAACAATGATATGATATAGGTGCAAATTTTCTTCTCTATGGCACAGCAAAAGAAATCTAGGACGCAGCAAAAAGAGATACTCGAGTTCTGAAAATACAGTAGAACTGTTCTAGATTGAGGCTATCTTGTATGATTTTCGCCAAGAGAGTCTCTCTGTCATACAATATTTCAATACCTTAAAACGGCATTGGTAGCAACTTGATATGTTTGATACTGACACATGGAAGTGCACAGATGATGCAGCTAATTACAGGGAAATTGTGGAGTAAAAAAGAATATTCAAATTCCTATTGGGACTCAACAAGGAGTTGGATGAAGTAAGTGGACGTATTATGGGCATCAAACCACTATCAAGCATTAGAAAAGTATTTTCTGAGGTTCGACGTGTAGAAAAAAAAAGTAATGATGGGATCGCAAGATACAGCAGTGAACACTCCACTGCTTGATAGTTCTGCACTTGCAATCCGAGGAACCAACCTCAGCACCAATGACAATCGACAGCAACGAGGAAGGCCCTAGTGTGAACATTGCCATAAGTCAGGACATTTGATAGAGACTTGTTGGAAGATCCATGGAAGACCAGCAGATCAGAAGCCAAACAAGCCAAATTGTGATTAAAAAAAAAAGTCATGCTAGCGTTTCTTCATCCGTTGAGGGAAAAACATCAAGTTAAACAAGTGGATTCAACAAAGTATAAATAGAAATTCTGCAAAAAATGATCAGCCACAATCTCTTCCAATCTACCAGCTAACCTAGAGCAACAAATGTGATGGCACAATGAGGTAATTCTTCTGTTGCCCTTACAACTAGCAGGGACTATAATGGATCCTGGATTGTTGATTCCGGTGCATCAGATCATATGATTAGAGATGCAACACTCCTATATAATTACAATTCTTAAAAGCATAACTCTTTTGTTCATATTGCAGATGGTTCCCTTTTCATGGTTTTGAGAATGGGATCTACATACTTAATAAAGGATGTTGTTCTCTCTCCTATTCTTCATGTTCAAAATTTAGATTGTAACTTACTTTTAATTAGAAAGTTGAGTCAAGATTTTAAGTGTGTTGTTAAATTTTTCCCATCTTTGTGTGAATTTCAGGAGATGGAATCGAGGAAAACAATTGGCAATGCTGAGTTGGTGTCAGATCTCTACCTACTCAAAACTAATAACCCTGCAAGTAGACCAGCTAATTATTCAAGTTGCAAAATGTCCACTGGTGTGTCAAAGAGTATGTCATTGCGTCATCTCTACTCCTCTATTTCCAATTCAAGTGTCAATAATGTGGATGAAGTTATGCTTTGGCATTTTCGTCTTGGCCATCCCAATTTTGTGTATTTAGAAAAGATGTTTACTCAATTGTTCATCAATAAAAACTCGAGTATTTTTCACTGTGAAAACTGTCGGTTTGTCAAGCATATTAGGACAAATTTTCCTCTAAGTTATCACTTACCTATCCGTCCTTTCACCATGATTTATAGTGACGTGTGGGGTGTATTACGAATTAAAATTCTCACTGGTGCTCCGTGGTTTGTGTCTTTTGTGGATGATCACACTCGTCTTACTTGGATATTTCTTATGAAAGAAAAATATGAAGTTAGTCACATCTTTCAAAAGTTTCATATGATGGTTCAAAATCAATTCAATGCTCATATGATGGTTCAAAATCAATTCAATGCTCATATCTAAAATTTTAAAACTAACAATGCCAAAGAATACTTCAAGTCCCATCTTGAATCATATCTCTCACATCACAACATCATCCATATCAGCTCATGTGTAGATACTTCTCAACAAAATGGAGTAGTTGAAAGGAAAAATCACCATATTCTTGAGGTAGCCAGAGCACTTCTATTCATAACTAATATGCCTAAATATTTTTGGGGTGAGGCAGTTCTTATTGCTGCTTACCTAATAAATAGAATGCCCTCTAGAGTCCACAAATTTCAAAACCCTCATCAAGTTCTTCTAAAAGTCTATCCTCACATCAAATTCATCTCCTCAAATATACCTCCAAGGTTCTTTGGGTGTTTGGTTTTTGTTCATAGCCATTCCCCAAACTAAATTAAATTAGATCTTAAGTCCATCAAATGTGTCTTTCTAGGTTATTCTTCCAACCAAAAGGGTTATAATTCCAACCAAAAGGTTTATAAATGATACTCTCCTATTACAAAAAGGATATACAATTCAATGGATGTCACTTTCTTTAAGCATGAGCCTTACCATCCAAAACCTAACATTTAGAGGGAGAATGTGAGGGAATCTCAATTTTGGGATGAACTTCTCATCAGAGAGCTAACCCAGATACAGAACACAACTCAAACACAACATACACCTCAGTTTCTAGTTTATCTTCCTTTTGACTCAGGCACCATACCAAAAATCAATTTCAAGCATTCATCATCTAATAGTCCAACCTCAAATCACAAGTTTGGGCAACTTGACTCCTTTCAACTTCAAATCTATACAAAAAGGAAAAAGAACATCAAAGAGAGTGAGAACCCTGTACCTCTCATGCATTGTCATGAATGCAACCCGAATTCTGATTCTTCTCAAGTTCACTCAAGTGAATCCAATCATTCTCATGAATTAATTATTCCAATGATTGATAATGATAACGCTCCAATTGCTCTAAGGAAAGGTGTAAGATCATGTACCAAACATCCGATTGGAGATTTTGTGAGCTAACTCTCTTTCTCCAACATGCAGGGCATTTATTACTTCATTTGACAGTGTACACGTTCTGAGGACTATTTATGAGGCTCTTAAACATCCAGGATGGCGAAAAGCTATTCATGAGGAGGTCACATCACTTGAAAGGAATGGAACATGGGTGATTACAGATTTACTTGCTTGAAAAAAGTCAGTAGGTTGCAAGTGGATCTTTACCATCAAAACAAAGCAGATGGAAGTATTGAGAGGCTGAAAGCTCGCCTTGTTGTTAAGGGATTCGCACAGCCATATAATATTGACTATCTATAAACCTTTGCTTCAGTTGCTAAACTTAATACCATCTGAGTTCTTCTTTCACTTGCAGCTAATTGTGACTGGCCATTACATCAACTCGACATTACATTTCTAAATAGCAATCTTGAAGAAGAAGTTTATATGGAAGTACCCTCGGAATGAAAATTTCCCACACTAAAAACAAGGTATGTAGACTACAAAAGTCCCTTTATGGATTGAAATAGTCTCCTCGCGCATGGTTTGATAGGTTTGCAAAGCTTGTGAAAAAATGTGGGTATAAACAATGCCAATCAGATCATACCTTATTTGTCAAGTTTTCAACTGAAAAGAAAATTGCTATTTTGATTGTCTATGTTGATGATATTATTCTTACTGATGATTTCGACGAAGAATTACAGATCTTAAAACAACATCTAGCACGAAAGTTTGAGATTAAGGAGCTTGGTAATCTAAAGTATTTTCTTGGTATAGAAGTAGCAAGGTCAAGAGAAGGTATTGCAGTGACTCAATGAAAATATATATTGGATATGTTGAAGGAAACAGGGATGCTTGACTGTAAACCAGTAGATATACCCATGGATTTAAGCTAAAAGATAAGTGTAGAATCAAGAAGTATTCCCGTAGATAGGGGGAGATACCAGCAACTTGTTGGTAACTTAATTTATCTCTCCTAAACGCATCCAGACATTGAATTTACTGTCAATTTAGTAAGTCAATTCATGAATAATCCCACGGAATAGTATATGAAGGCTATGTATAGGATACTAAGATATCTTAAGTCAACACCTGGAAAGGGATTATTATTCAGGAAGAATAGCAAAATAGAGACTGATATCTATACTGATGCTAATCACATAGGGAA